TTCAAAATCTGACATAATAGTACATGGATTAAAAGTCATATTTAATTGAGCAGCTTTATTATGTAATTCATGAAATAAATATTTGTACGTATGTTTTTTTCGATCAGGTAAGAGAGCAAAAGCACAAACAAACGCTGTGAAATACACTAGTATTTAAAAAATTTATTTAAGAAAAAAATTCATATTCACATTGTTCAAATTTAATTGCATGTATGCAATATACTTGATCGAAAATCGAAGGTGATGATGAGAAGGTACCATCCATCAAGATGACCGAACTACTGAATAATAATTTCAGTTGTTCATTTGATGCAAATACTAGCATTCGGGTTTTTCTTTTTATAATCTGATCAATACAGAGAAAAGGTAAATTTTTCAAAGTTTTTGTATAGGATTCTGGTATATCAAATAATTGAGAATTAGGAATAGATGGTGTTTGTAGACGATGTGCTTTATTTAATGTACTACCGGAATACTACATTCTTTAAGTGAAAGAAAATAAAGTTTTTATTAACCAAGTTCTCTTTGAGATGGCAAAGCAGCAATTGATAATGTCGATAAATCGATTCGGGCTGCTTCCTCGTCATAAATTTGTGGAATGGGTGTACTTTCACTTATAGCACGTGCTTTGACAACTTGTTTGAATACTCGAATTTGAATTTCTTCTGGCTCAGGTGGATGACAATGATCACCGTTAATGTTCAAAAAAGTATCTTCAAGATCAGTACGAGCAGTAACAGTACAACATGAATCTTCACATCGATAGTATTTTGTTGTACTCGCTGTCTTATTCAATTTAAAGATGAAATTGTTTATATTCAACATTTTTTTTCCTTTTTGAGATGTGATAAATGATATTTTATCAGTAGGAGTAGTCATCATATCTGAAAAACTCAAAAGGCAATTCGTATATCTTTAACTATTAACGATCATCACTCGAAATCCCATCAGTACAACCATTATTAATGAAGTACCAAAGAGAAATTAATTAATCAGTGAAGATTGATATTTATCTATTATATTCGTATATTTACATGCGCATCACTTAAAGAATAAACACTTTTAACGACATGAACCAACCAATTAAATAAGAAATTTTTAGCGAATGTTTTATAGCGACGTCTTATGACTATCTATTCTTTTCCTTTCCTTTCGACATTTTTCCTTTCGCCTTTTTTCCATCATACCTCAAGATACGAGTAATTTCTATCGGAAGTGAAGAATAGTCAATAATTTGTTTTTTAAGTTTTGCATCAAGAGGGCATCATTGTAAAGTTTCAGATGACAAAAATTTTACATAAGGCATCGAAAACCAACTGAAACAAATATCTACCTTCTCGCTGTGAATCAGAGCTATCCATGGGGGTGCAACAATCGACGCCAAAGTTTCCCTGCAAGGCAACATACACGTCGATTGTTGCGACCTCATGGACAGCTCTGCTATGGATTAAAGTTTGAACGGTGTGGTTCTTCTACATCTGCATACATACGCCACATCCATACAGTACAGAACAAGACCTTCTGTTATATGCATGTATTCTAATCTCTCTGTCTGTAAGGAAAATCTTTTATTTGTCAAACAAAATCAAAAGATGCCATTATTGTTATTGTTAGTGCTTGAACTTAGCGTCATAATTACGACAAGCTCTGGTTCGACTTGTCCAAGTCAAAAGTCTATTGACTAGTCTCTTACTAAACTTAAATGCTGACTGGAACAGTTGCTACAGTCATTGAAACGAACATACTCTACGAACAAGCTTTCAGTTATCAATCTTTTTCACCACAAGAGCCCACGAACGAATAGTAGTCGAGTTTTACCTCTGACGACTATCTCTAAGACATTTATTTATGTTTTTGTCACGAAATTAGCTGAAAAGAAAATAATTGATTTCCATACAGACATCAATCAGAATTTGTTTAAATCTCATCGAAAATATGCTGTTCACAATATTCTACTCATTCGATTACACTGTGCAGATTAATTTCACATTCAGCCTAGATTGTTGTCAATAGGTGCAGCCTGGAAAACCTTTTACTAACGTACCGACAGTTGCATCTTCGCTACTCTTCAGATGAGAGTCAACACAATACGAGTGACGAATTTATTTCAACTGTCGTAGTAAATCAATGCCCAGATGATCAACAGAATTCATGCAATATAAGAATCATTTATTAATGCAGAAAAACGATCTGCCTTCGAGGATTTGCCAAAGACTCTCCGACACATACACCTTGAAACATTTGCATCAACACGCTTCCAATAGGGTTCGATAAGAGTTTCGCCTTTGATCTTGTGTGAAATCCTAATTGCAGACTTAGGAAATTCCTCTGTATAGACACAAGGCTCACTGACAGTTTCAAAAGTTCCTGTAATGCCATTAGCGATAAATGGAAGCGCGGACGCTTGATAGAAATCGGTTAGTAATTATCCCTAGCAGATCCGATGATCTGCTACGGCATCTGTTGGATATGTGTTCATGTCGATATAGCTGACAGCTTGCAATCCTTGGAAATAAAAAAGTACATCGGTGGTTCCTGTGATCTAATCAACATTATTGATTTCAACACCGACGTAAGAACTCAAATTTTTTCCTAAGTTGCCAGCAGGAAAAACTCTGACTCGAAGGTTTCTTAGCCCATCGCTGATGCTCATAATATAAGCAGATTTCGTGGACGTGTTCCATCAGAAGCAATTCTTTGATCAACCAACTGTTTGGTTTATTCAATATGTAGTGCTGCGAGCACCATTGCTAGGCACATTCTGAAGTCGATATACGGCTGAGTCGAGTTGGACCCGTCGGATGGTGATTAAGTGATTCAAGCACATATTCCTGCATTACAACGATCTTCCATGAAGCTAAAGATCAATACTGACATGATTGAGTTACATTCAACATAATAGGACATTGTTTATACAATTGCAAATGTTTGTACAGTTTTAGACAACATCAAATCGATTTGAGCCTTTATCAAAGGTTGAAATTCAACTCGATTTAGTTGGACCACTTTTGAGATGTTCAAATGAACAATATTCTCTAAACGAATATTACAACGTTTTCGACAGTACTCACCGAGGATAACACTATCTGGATCGTTGTCATTAATCAGAAGAACAAGTTGCCGAGATTGAAGACAACTTCTCTGAGGAAGTGTTAGTGTAATTTTTGGCGTGTTTTGTGCAGGCTCTCATTCCTGGATTATCATTACCATAAAATAATAACTAATTCCATTATGGACTCCAGTGACCATAAACAAAGCGACTGCTGAATTAATTGTTTTCGTGTTAGTTCTAAAATCAGTACCATAGTCAACTAAATAACCTACCCGCTTCAGGCACTTCATTTCAAGTCAAGAACACGTTGCTATTACCGAGCATTACATTAAAGATTGAGCACTTTGCGGATGGTAAAGCACGTAAAATTGTAAAGTCTTCTTTAAGTTTCTGGCATTGATTGAAAGAAAGTCGATTTTCGATAGAATTTTATATATACTAGTCATTTCTTGGGACACCCATTAGTAGAAAAGTTCTTTTAAGTGTCAAGATGAAATGCTCTCACTTTATTTTTGCTATAATAGTAAATAAAGCTTTAGAAAACTACCAAGTATTTACGAGTTTACGCTTCAATGGTAACTGTTAACTATAATGAGTTAAAATCAATCGTGATCAATTCTAATCGGGTGACATTGAATGTCTACTATATCATTCAATAAATCTCAGAGATTGTGTTCTTGATTATCTCGCATAAGTTCAGGAATAAAATGTGAGTAATTGGATGGTTTTTAACCTTCTCCTCAAGTGTACTAACATTCACATCCTCAGGTTACTGCATAATTCAATTAAACTTGAAGAATAAGTAACAATTACAACCAAATGGAGGAGGCAGCCAAAAAGAGTATAAAATGGAACTTTTTTTTGACAAGATATAGTGAAATACTTGACCTATCTCATCTATCTCACTATTAACAATACGACTATGACTGAGTCATTTCAAATTCAAGACTCAGATAGACTGACGTCGAAAAAGAGCAATGGCTAACGAAAGACAAAGAAGACACCATGGAATTGTCATAACATATCAAACTGCAACCAACACTTTGTAAGAACTCGGTAACGCTTGTCGAAAGCGTCGTAACGATTAATACAGGGCGAAACTAGCAAAGCCATATGATGATAGTGACTACTTCTCTGACTCTTAACTGATGCTTATAATGTATCGTTTAGGATACATTTTTTGTTGCCGTAAATGTGAAGCAAGAAGATGAATTATACATGAACATTATTTATGTGTTATTGAGCTTGACAAGAGAATTATAGCGACAGAACTATGTACGAATTAGACACTCAAGTGCCAAATATCGTTGTTCATTGAAAAAATTCTGTCTCGACAGTTGCGTTAAATACTATGCTCATAATCCAATACAAATCGGTTGTTCAGACTGTACTATAAAGACCGACGAAAGTTGCTCCGGCGAACGGAAGAACTATAGCGGACGCATCTTTTGAGTTGAACATTAAGTCTTTGGTGCAATTGACGTTCATATACGACGATGCTTTGTGGCTCCTGTTGCTAGACAAGACGCCAGACATCAGTTCCAATTATAAATCAATACATTCTAACCTACAACAAATTTTTCTGCAGATGAATGACACATTTAACTTACACTTCACAACGATGCAAACTACTTTTATTCAGTGATGAACAAATGTGAATTATGTTGATCCAAAAACTGGTGTTGACGCTCAAAATATTGAAAACTCTTCGTTGAAGTAGAATTTTAAACTAAAGAAACAATTTGATCTCCGTCATACATTAATCAACTTTTATCACCAAGAATATATATGTGACGACAGAAACTTGGTGATAAGTTCTTAGAAAAAAGTGTTCGCCAAATTTCTGCTCAATACTCCACAATATCACTCTCTTCTCCTTGTTTTTTTTAAATATGCGATACCGCTTATATCATATGTTGGATATCTGTCAAAAAATGCGCACACATTTCGTAGTCTAGCGCTATCTTCAAAAAGCTTATTTGATTTGATCGATTGTCTCTAACACTCGACTTGGCTTTCTCAGTATGTCATTCATTAGTGAGAATATACCCAAATTATAAATGTACATATGATTTGTTTGGATGTTTTGCTTCGTTGATCTGATGACTTTTTTGAATTGCAGCAAAATACATGATAGAGGAGGACTAATTGAAATAGAATCAAACGATGGTGACTTTTATCAAATAGAAAAGCGAGTATGATTCACATTTGTACACTCCTGCTTCTCTTTCTCCTTCTTCCACTTCCCTAGTAGTGACATTATGTTTTATTGTGGGGTTTGATTCAGTTTGAAGCGAACCAGTCGACCGATTGTGCTGTCATTTTAGACATGAACGTCCATCCACGACCAGATTTGTGTTTACTCAGTTGGAATATTTTGGCACCTTGTTGGGTAAATCAAGATTGGTATCCAACTCTATTCGAGATAGCGGTCAACCACCATGAACGACTAAACAAGATTGGTGATAGAATTCTATCACTTGGGTACGATGTTGTCCTGATCCAAGAAGCACAGGAAGATACTGTTCTATTACTGAGACAGAAATTAGACGACCACTATGTGTTTCATTCAGCTTGGAACCACCCAACTGCGGCATCTGTACGCAATGGTCTTTTGACATTAATCCGAAAGAATTGGAAATATGCTTCAACAACGGCTATGAGCCATGGTATTCTCGATGTGGACAGAGGTGAAGCCATTCAGATTATGACAATACCTTCCAAGAATATTCATATAGTCAATCTTCATCTCGACTATACCCATCGTTTATGTCAAGCTAAACTGGTGAAAGACAAGTGTAGGATATTGCTCGATACTACTAATTCTGTGACCATTCTAGCTGGCGATATGAATGCCGAAACGGACGAATGCGATCGATTCGAATGGAATGACTTTGAGGATGTTTTTCGTGAATCGGATCATTGTATACGAATACCAACCTTTTATTCGGATCCATCACGTGCAGAATGCAATACAGCCATTGATCACATATTCTATAATCCATATAAGCTCAAATTGATTGAACATGGCAAAGCATGGGATATTTCGAATGGATCACTTGCAGATGCTCTAACAGAGATCGGAAGCGACCATATCTATGTTTGGGCCAGGTTCAACTTTTGTCCGTAAACTAGTTCAATCGAAAAGAAAACTCTTGACTTATTTGAACTTCTTTTGCCGTTCATGTATACATGTTAGTGGTATACGTTGTGAAATACGTTTGCTCACGAACTTTGAAATATATAATGAAAAAAATTAGGTAAAATTCTCTTCTTCGATCAAATAAACTCACCATTCGGAAATTGGAAATTCAAGGAAATGAAATGGAATTCACTGCTTGGAGCTCCTGAATTGGGATTGTATGTGTCAGTCTTTGTAACTCCTTCAGTGGGTTTGTGCATCTCAATATTTCGCGCCATCTTCATTTTTGAATGCCTTGAACTTCTCGAATTTCACTTTAATATCTATTGGATTTCCAATTTCTGGATGTCACATCTATTCTCGATATTTAGTTTTATAATCTACCTTTTTCTTGCGGCATTTTCCTTTTTGCTGTTTTTGCCTTGTACATTTTCCTCTTCAGTATTTTTCTTTTCTGTCTTTTCCATCAATATGGTTTTGTCTGAAATGTGGGCTTTGTGAAACGAGCGAGAGCACACATAATTAACTACTTCTTGGCGCAGAAAAAGCAGTTGTTACAAAAATACGACAACAAAAAATGCCGTCTATGTTTATAGTACTAGATACTATCTGAAAAAAAAATTGCAAAAGACAGCCTCGAATATTATTCTTGCAGGTAAATCAATTTGAATGCCTCTCATAGCTCATAAAATCACCATATAATCAAGCTGTGCGACTTCATTAATTGTCATTGTACTGTTCACTGAAAAAATGAAAAGTGTTAGGGAACGAAATAGACATTCTGATACGAAATAAGTACATTAATAATTAGAGTCAACTATGCACGGTTCCATACGAGTTTAAAGCCACAAAGTCTGAGGTTAATTATATTAGTTCAATAACTATTTAGATGTATGTTGCATTTACTAAGTAGTAGCGGAAATGAAGTAAAATCATCTTCATCTTGTTTGAAAAGTGTCTAGTTGCTCCTGTATGCATCATATCGCTACTACAGCTAAGGATCACTACTTGAATGGATTTGATATCGACTTTTGTTGCTGAATTAGAGTCGATTTTTCGGTATTTGAATTGATGACAATATAACTTCACAATTTCACAAAATGAAATCCGGCGTCATCTATCTGTCTTCAGTTCAGACTAATAGAAACTCTTCATCAATAGACTTTGATTTTCGCTGTATTTACTCAAAGGTGTGTTATCAAAAGTAGTGTATCACATTAAGTGCACAACTCGAGATAAGAAAACGAAATTTGGAGATGGACTATATGCTAGACAGAAGATACATTTATTGTTTGTGACTCGTTGAATTCTCTTTCAACATTGGTATCTTTGTGGATTCTCCATTACAGACGATAGCTATTATTCGGAATGCATGCAGCTCTGGTAACAGACAGCAAAGAGACAGAATTCAGTGGAACAGATGAATCTTCTGAGCCGTTGATCTATCGTTTAGCCAATATCGCAGATTGCGAATCCGTCTCACAATTAGTCAATGGTGCCTACCGTGGTGAATCATCACGTCAAGGTTGGACTACCGAAGACGAGTTTATTGGAGGACAAAGAATCGATCCTGATACGTTAATGCAGATGATAAATAGTGACAGTTCAGTCATTTTGCTATTTTTCGATCGAGACTCAAAAGTTTTAATTGGTTGCGTTTCGTTGCAAGATACCACAACGGTTAAGAATATCCATCTTGGTTGTTGCGTTCCTTTGCAACATGATACAAAAGTTAAAAGAGCTCATCTTGGCATGTTAACCGTACGTCCAGATTTACAAACACGAGGCTACGGAAAATTTATTATATCAGTAGCTGAAAATTTCGCTCACCATCATTGGCATGCCCAATTAATTGAAATGAGTGTCCTTGTCCATCGAACTGAATTAGTCGCTTATTACATACGTCGTGGTTATATTGACACTGGTCGACGTCAATCACTTTCCGTGCAGGACACTCGATTCGGTATTCCAAAGAAAAATGATTTGGAATATTGTATTTTGGCAAAATCTCTCTAAAATTTAATAAATTTAATTGCTGAAGAATTTCTTTCTGACTAATTAGCAGAAACTTTGCTAGATGACTAAATCTTCGTTCCACTAACGAAAAAACTAAAGATCGTAGTTGTTCAATGTTTACCAATACTTTCTTGCTATTTTAATTCAAATCTAATAATAAAAGACTCACACTTCTTTTTAAATGATAGTCTAATATAGTTTGCCTATGAAAGTTTGACCGTCTTTCTCAAAATTCTAACCAATCATCATAAATATCTCTTTGAGATATTGCTACGTAGATGTGTGAAACTTTTGAGATGGAGAATCGTGATTAATACGGCAGCCTTGATAGCACTAGCTAATTGTTATAATCAAGTCTCGAAAATAAATCATTATCTATATATCCTGTCGAGATGCGTTGATACAACATTGAATTTATTTCAAGTTGAATGGGTATGTTACACTTGTAGTTCAGATCGATGTTGTTATTCTCATATACATAGTTGTTTAAAATTATTATTATGGGTCAAAAATTTACCTTATTGATCTTCTCCTGTCAAGTATGGAAGCTTGAAAAATGCGGGTATTTGCAGAAAATCTTCAGAAACTCGTGTTTACTTACAAAATATTTTTCAAATTGTCATGTCTCTTGCTTAGATGTGCATGTCCCAAATACATTTATGAGAATACAATTTTGTATGTTTTCAAGCAAAACATGCGAGACCGCCAAAATGTTATCAACGTGTTTCTGCAAGATGACTAGAACTTTGCTAAATTTTGCATATCAGTGCAAAAAAAGTCGTATTTAGAAAAATCATTATCAAAACGATTTTGCGTCGGCGCGCAAATTTCTGTAATTTTTGTCGTGTACATGCTGCTCCATGCAGGAATTCAGTTTTTTTTCTTTAACATTTATTTATTTGTCATTAAAATGAAATTGCCTTCACATACCCACACTATATTGGTTCAACAACCTTATTCAATTTTTCGAATTTACCTACAATTATTAGTACTCATGTTCACACGTACGTAGTAGTTATTTTCGTTTTTTGGTCATTCTAAAATTGTCTTGCATGTCACATGTGGGCTATCTATAAAAGCATACATAGGCCTTCGCATGCAACAACAATATTAAACATATACATGTGCAAAATTTCATGCATATAAACGCGAATTCAGTGTATGCTGTGACACGTTCCCCCGCATACCATGTCATGATCATTCATGCATGGATACGCACTACTGTTACTGCATATACATATGTTATAAGCTATCGTGTTTGACTGAGTTGTTTTTTTTTGGAGCGAACGCGACAGTAGAAAAATGATATGTTTTTGGAGCAAAGTGAGTCATGCAGCTTGAAGAAAAAACCTGAACTAATCGATCAATTAAACACTCGTTGCACCACTTCATGTGACTTATTCGTATTTTATTAATATTATTGTGCTGAAAGGAAAAAGAAGCTCGTAAGTGATTTTCAAAATTATTTTCATAGTGCTGAAATAGGTGCGGGTGTCCTGCAAAGGTATGTTCTTGAGCATTGCCTGACTGCACAATAACGACATGCGTGAGTGAATGGCGCAGTAGTATAACAAATTTGCTTCCCCCTCACTGTTTGAAGGTAAATATAGAACAGCTATCAGTTATGTATAAATATGAAACCAAATATTGGAAAAGAGAGGCAATAAAATCGAATCGGTTTCCATGCAGAGTTACACGCGTCAACTGATTTCCAAAATTGTTCGTATTCCAATCATCAGACGAACTAACTATTACAGAAATGGAACAGAAAGTAATATGGCTCAACAACAATATATTAACGTTGATTGCAACTGTGTATCAGAAGAGATCATCAAGGCGCAGCGCACACCTGACTTCCCGTTAGATATAATGCAACAGCGTACTATTGAAGAGATATGGAATAAAAATGTCAAACAAGAGCCACAACGGAATACCATGAAAGACTGTATACATTGATAATATCTCATTCATTTTGTGTCACAATATTCAATATCTTTTTCTTTCTTAGCTTTTAATAAAACCTGAGCGACACATAATGGTTTCTTTTTATTCTCGATTGATTCGTCTTCTTTGTTTCATATTTTCATTACAAAATTGAATACTTCTATTTTTTGTCTATTTCATTTTATGGCATCCACTGTTTAATCAATAGTCTCATATCAATAATATTATGCATATCTGAGATACGAACAAACTCAGATTTCACACTAAAATGTAAATATGTATACGAAAAATTTGTTTTTTCTTGTGTAATATGAATTCTCGTGCATTTAGTATAGAAGAAAAAAAGTGAATGTCACTTTACGCTTCAGTAAGATATATTGTTGGCGCACTTTTAGTCGCAAGAGCAACTAATTTCATTTGTGGTCTCTCTCTCTGTACGTGTACATCAAGTTGTTGGTATTTCTTTGAACGTTCTATTTTCTTCGATGGTGTATCTGTGTACGTGCACTTGAAGTACGGAATAAAACCAAAAAACAAGTATTAACAAACATATAAACACGATCAGGTCATAGAGAAGTGAATTGCATCTATTCGAATCAGATGAATAGAGATCAAAAACATTGCATAAGAGTTCAAGTAATTACGTCGATTTTGACTACTTGAAAATCTTCCCAGTCTATGCACAATATGTGCTTTCAGCTCCAAAAATTCGTTCGACTATGATGTTGACGAGCAATTAAATCCTAGTTATCGAATAACCTTAAATAAGCTTTTGTAAAGGTCTCGATCGAAATGAACCAATTAATCATCTTCCTCTTCTAATTCAATTCTCTTAGACGAACGAACCATTGTTAACAATATGACATTGGTCAAACTGAACGTACACATGTAAGGGTCCTTCAACGACAAAACATACGCACAAAGTAAAATTCAGTAGAATAAAACTTAGTCCAATCTTGGTCTCAATAGATCTCACAGTTGCAGAGACCTCAAGAGCTATTAACTCTCTGTTCGCAGCAATTAAATAAACTTCAAGCGCCTAGAGACATAAATATCCATTGTTGACACGCTTTTGATACTTTGAATTGAAAAGACAAATACGCAAGCGCAGTCCATCGAAACAAAACAAATATTTATTTAACTATTCTTTGATCATCTAACACTTGCTTCAAGACCTGGGTATACAAAATAAAAGCAGAAGTTGTTTTTTTCATCTTTATACATGGTTAGATAGAGTGTGCTAAGCTGATCAAGAATATGTGTTTATAATTTTTTGGCATGATATTATAGATGAAAATTTTTAGTTTTTTTCAAATGATTTACTTTTTATTTTAGAATAATTTATCGCAATGGACTTTCTCAAACACGATTTAGATTTTAATTAATGTTATAGTCATCATTGAAAAATTCAACTGCCACACGAAACTTGAAAATGAGTTGATTTTGTAAAGCAGAATTTATTTTATCATACAAAACTTTATAACCTTCTGTAAAAGATGCCACTCATGAGATACTGTGTCTTGAGAATGATTGAGAGAAGAACAAGGAGAAAATAGCTGGATCTCATTGGATGCACTGTACAACAAAGTAAAGTGTGAGCTGCTGCTATAAAATCTTTCTAATGAAAGTATTTTTTTATACTCTGCTAAATAGAAGACATTTTTATAATACTAAGAATTACAACCCGGTTTTCTTAATGACTTTAAGTCTGCTTTTAAGAGGTTTAAAATTTTCTAATTTCGGAACTTTTAAACTGCTAGTTTCAGCTCACTTCATATTTAATAGAGACTTTCTAAAGGAAACTCACGAGGTATCTACTGGAAAAAAAGATGATTAGTCAAAAACAAAATTGAATAGAGATATAAGTAAAACACTGAAGGTGATATTTCTTCTGGATCACTCATTATATTAAATGAGACAAATGAAATTCATTTATTCTTTCACTTTAAAGAAGAAAAATTTTTTTCATTCAAATGTCCATCTGAAGTCAAGTTTATTCGCTTCCGTTATTGATCGATGACAAATTCACAATTTCATTAACAAATATTTCCAAATTATCTACTTTCTACTTTAGTGGGATTTACAATAAGAACTTATATAAATGCATTTTTGCTTTTTTTTTCGTCAATTTTTCTCTTTCCTTATCTTTAATACGTGTACGAAAGAATACGAAAGATCAGCATTCCCAGTTTTATCGTCTTGCTCTTCTGTAGTAGCATTAAAAAAAAGAAGAGATGAAAAAAAAGTAAAGACACTTATAGGTCCTTGTTGTAAACCATACTGAAGATGAAAGTATATGACTTTGAATCGTTTATTAGCCATTTGAACTTTACTTCAACTTAAATGTTCTTTTCAATCACTACAAAAGAGGTGTCCATCTGTGATCGACTTCTTTTTAGTCTTCCATACTGCTAAAATTCCGCAATAAATTTATCAAAGTTTCAGCTAAATCGAATTTTCGAGGCTCTGTAATGCTCTGAAGTTTAATAATTCATCTATTGAATAAAAGCCGACTAGGACTGCAAAGATAGATAATACGGCGCAACTAGTACTTTGCACTAGAGTGGTACTGAGACAGTTATAAATATTTTAAGCTAGAAATCTGTCAACTTTTTAAATCAATCAAAATTTAAATGGTCTTTCAAAAGACATAATTGGAAAAATTGCATAACGAAATAAACGGGACCAAGCAACGGCGTATGAATTTCAGAATTTTCAATGTCTTCGATGCCAAAACATCATCATGTTCACATTTTCAATAGTGCAGCACGCAGATGTACATACATTTAGAGTAATCACATCATTATTCTTATAGATCGTTCGAAAAGAGCATTAGGAGATATGATTTGTGTGTGAATCTTTTTCCATTCTTCTTTATTTTGCTCTTACTAGCATAATTGAATGATTTTTATGATTGTAATCGTTTAAATGCAACAGTATCGTGATCAAGAACGCAAACGAGTATGAATATAATGGCATCATAGTTTAGGTACAGACAATTAATTGAATCGATTTCTCAAGTTTGACATCGACTAATTTGCATCTATAAGAGTGCATGTATGACGTAGTTTTATCACCATTATGGTTTTAAATATGTACATATATACGTATTTTTTTTCTTGGGCGTGCGATCGAATACTTTTCGTATGATTTCACATGTGGACTCGAAGATTGAAAGATACTCTCGAGCAAACGATCACAGTACTACAGCATAGAATGAGTGAGTCAACTAATTAGTGTAAAATATTGTTTTACTGTAACGCAAAAAGGAAATAAAAACACATCAATTACTTGACAAAGCTAAAAGGCTATTTCTCTTTCCACGCTCCCATTTACTAACCTCATACAATCGGAATATGATATTGTCTTGAGTCTATGCTATGAACAAATAAAATCATCAGAAAACAGAAGTTAGCAAGTCATATTTTACAGCAAAAAAAAACATCTTTGTTCACCTGTATACAATCATGGTAATAATTTGTTCTGGATAAATACTGACGACGCTCAAGCGTTGCTGATGTGTATCAGTTATTGTGCTTAGTCCATTCATACTTCTTCCACTTTCTCTTATTGTCAGAACTATTGTAAGAATTCAAAAAGTGTTTGTCAATAGACATAATTGTAGGTATTGTTGTTGTTTTCTATAGTAAGCAAGACGCGCTTACATTGTATTGCCTCTTACTGTTTATTGGGTGACAGAAACAATACCCTATGCAGTAACTTCATTATTTCCATTTGCATTCTTTCCTGTGGCTGGCATCGTATCTAGTGAAATAATCATCTGCCTAGACTATTTCAAAGTGAGCAACTCATTTTCCATTTTTTTTATTTTAGCCTAAAATGCTGCTAATATTTGTTTGAAGAATATAACAAAGTTGTTCGTTGACAACATGATACTAGCTCATGCAATGGAGCGCGTTCATCTTCATCGACAATTAGCATTGCTTGTACTCAGCATTGTTAGTTCATAGACCAAATAGTGAGTAGTTTACTGTTTTTAACGTATAATCAAAAGCTCTATTCTTTCGAACAGGAGTATGACCGAATTGATGGATGTCACAGCTTTCTTGAGTATGTGGATCAATAATTTGGCCGCTACCACTATAATGATACCAGCAGCAATCGCTATTATTGATGAAGTTCAAGCAAGAGTTCAAGACTATAAAAAATGGCAGCAACAACAATAAACACCAGAAACCGAACCGCCATCAAAAGGAGTTGCACCAGTAGTTACAACAGGTGACGAATGATTTGCGTTTCAATTATCATTCGAATAATTGTTTTATTCAAGTTTTAGTCGTGGTTGATTTCAAGACAATGACTGCAGAAGCAGCCGTCTGCACAAGATAGTGTTGCTATAAATCGAAATGAGTTGGTGATTGAATAAGTCTAGTTCGCAACAGAGACAGGTTGCTCCTACTCTCATTCGTAGGAATGTAGGATTACTGCAAATTTAACTAAGCCACTTCCAGGTTTAAATGTAAAACCTGCCAGAAAGAGAAGTTTTATGAACAGATGAGTTCAGTTCAAGTGTACAGATTAGTTATTGCTGGTAATACAAAACAATTTGACTCACGAAGGAACCTCTCCAGATGTAACATCACTCGTCGCTCGAGAGTCTTACCATCAGACAGATTTTAGTGATTAATAACAAAAATCTATCTGAGCTTGAAACACTAGGGCCAAGAGATATCGATTTTTTACTGAATTTTTCTTGCAGAACGTATTTTCCAGCAAAATCAAAATTTTTGAATTTTGACTTGAAATTTTTCATACAAGAAGGTCTTGGTTGGAATTGCTTGTAGGAAGAGATTCATAATTTTTGGAAACAAAAGTTTCGAGATATGAATTTTTCAAAAAAATTCATGTTTTTGACAATATCTGTTCTACAGCTCTTTTATAATAAAAACTACACTGCCCAACAATTTTGAAACTTTTTTTTACAAGCTAATCTAAGTGAGACCTTATTGTGAGCGGTGAGTAGGTGAACAAGGGTATTTATGTGGTACATACCTGAGAACTATATACTTTCATCCATCCTCTGATCGTGGTCGCACTGGTCTAGAGCAGACGGATCTCATTTACTACGGGTTAATGTACTATCATTCAACTGTAGACCTACACAATCTAGTAACCAATCAACTGTTGAGTCAGATGTGGCAAGCAATCGTTTGTCCACAACACAAGTTGATTATCAACAACTCAAGAGCGGTACGAAATAAACTATAAAATTGTCGAACTCAATATATACATGATGTATCTTGTCGTTTGTTTGAAGGTCTTCGTATTTCTGTAGCTTATAGCTCTGTCTTGGGCGATCTGATAGCACTCGTTGGAACTGATATAAATATTTTTACCAAAAGATTCGGTGATCAATGAGTACTTTATTGGAGTAGAATTTTGTTGTTGTAATAATACCTATTAATCAACCTAGATTCTACATAACTGGCAGACAAACTTTGAAAACTTCATTTGCCAATTTTTTCGTATTCGGCTTACCGACTGATGTTATCATGTTTATACTTTGCTGGTTATGGCTACAAATCTTGTACAATCGCAAACAGTAAGTTTGCAATCATACTCGTTGTTATCATTTTCATCTCCATACACACAATTGTAGACTCTTTCAGTGGAAGACGAATGCGGCTTTGCACGATCCACAAAAAAGATTTGAAGGCTATTCTTAAAAGGCAATATTATGACTTAGGCCCGTACAGTTGGCGCGAGCGCACTGTTACTATTGTTTTCATTGTCTTTGTTATTATCTGGGTGACACACGACTTTTCAAGTAGTCCTGAATAGCAAGCCATATTCCAGAAGAAGGGCAAATGTTCGTTCAAAAAAAAAACGATTACTGCTGCCGTTTAAGTTACGCTACAGATGGAATAGTAGCTATAATTATCGGTTTATTGTCACTAATTTTACCTAATCAAAATCCATTTCAAGATATTTAGAAGATAATTTTAAAATTGAAAACTATCTGTCTTGATTAGAAAATAGGAAATATAACTCGATTCTTCAATGGAATCAACTGGTGAAATCATTTCCATGGCGTGTATTCATGTTGCAAGATGTCAAATTTGCTATTGCCGATGGATTCAAGGTTTGTTTTCAACTGATGCATATTTTGATACATGTAATTGCGTTTGTAGACATCGAATCTATCGACAACTATTACCAGTCTTCTTCAGTTTATTATTGAAGCACCGAACACACTCATCATTTTTGTTGTCATCGTCATCAGTAGCATTTTTACTGAATTTACAAGCAATATCGAACGTGCTAGCATCTTACTCCCTGTTCTCGATAAGTATCCCAAGAAATGTTGCTTTCTCTTTGTCTACCATTCGGCTTCTATTGTTGTTTTTCTTCTTCGTTAAGTCTCACCCGGCTCATATTCATCCAGTGTATCTTATTATAACATCGTGCATGACTGTTTTGTTGTTTATTTTCATTGTGTTCTAGTCAGTAGCAAAGCTATGTTCCCAGGTACTCTACCAAATGCCATGATATTCTCCAGTGGACATGTTACACTTATGGATTTGCTGAGAGCATGTATTAGTCTTGAAATTATCGGTATCTTTGTGATTTTGTTGGCATCGGCCATTTTCCTTGAACCTATTGTCTATGTTACTCAACCGACATTCGTTTATAATGTCACGATGATAGCAAACAATGCGATGGAATGATAAAGATGAAAGACGTACAAAATTGGTTTTTTTATGTGCTGTATCGAATGTCTTATAATTATTTTTAATACTCTTTTTAAACGCTATCAACATTGTCGAAAATTAAAAAAAAAATACTTTCTGAAATAAATTATATTATAATTCATAGAAGCAAGATTAGACATGAGAAAAAGTGAATTCATCATGAAACAGGTAGTCTATACATGTTGTGTTTGAAGCTGATTCTCACAATAATAGCTGCTCATAGCTTAGTCAATGTATTCGTTTGAAAGTACTTACAAACTTGCAAAACTTCAAAAAGAATAGTCTTTGGCGTCCTCGCTTTGTGTGTTCTTGTGAATGGATCTCTTTTCTCTATTTACTTATGTCTTGTTCTCAATGAAGTTGCTTTAACATTGGAACATCTACTTGAACAATATATAGAACGATTTAAAATTTGAAAAAGTGAAAATCCAAAATAAGTTGAACGATGAAGAACAATCAGGAAATGTAACAGTGAATATAACGGTCGTCTTTTTTTCAATGGTTTTTTGACTTGATCGAGTACGTACTGTACACATTTGAGATCTTGTTGTTTTTTCTTGATGAGAGGAAGGGAGTTGAGAGTTGATGAAACATGTGGCTGTGCATCTTCTCTTCACCTACATCCGCACCTATCTGTGTGACACAAAACGAAGAGAGAAAATTTCGAGTGCGTCGTGGGCGGAGGAGGCATAGATGCAAAATACTTCACTGTTGAGCTAAGCTAAATAAATATCCTCATGTTGTAGACCATGGGTGACTTATTATAGTGACATCTTTTTTTTGTGAAAATATATTGAGGACAATAGGGTTCTAATCGACCTTCGTCCTTTAATCTGGAATGCATCAAGATGCATTTTGACACAAAAAAAATTCTATGAGTACGATAGAGAGCACTGTAATATAAATTGAGTACACAACTACACGTGTTTCTTTTTTATCTTTGTTTTTTCAATGAAGAAAAAAAGAGTTTAATCGTTCTGATATTATTTAACGGCACATGGTAATAACAGATAAGAAAAAAAAACAACATATGAAAGAAAAGAAAAGAAAAAAGAAAGAAAAGGAAAAGAAAAAAAGCAGAACAAACAATAATCTATAAGTAAAACTAACACAATTGTTTTTACGAGTATAATAAAAGAATAACAAAGAACTATGAGCTGTCGACTATTTGAAGAAGAAGAACATACACGTAAATATCGCTTGCATCGACCAAAATATTCCAAACAATTATTCGAACATATTATTAATTATTATTTTAATGGTAATCAAACAGATAAAAAAATTCCACTCGCCCTTGACGTTGGATGTGGCAATGGTCAAGCTACAGTTGGACTTAGCTCGTAGATATCATTGTTGTTTTTTTGTATTGACATCTTTTAAAGAAAAAATTGAATGTTTATTTTAGATATTGTGATCGAGTAATTGGTATTGATGTTAGTGCTAATCAAATAACACATGCAATGCAAAAAGATAATATCGAATATCGATGTAATAGAGCAGAAGATTTAACATTTCTTGAATCGAATTCAGTTGATTTAATTACTGTTGCTACAACGTTACATTGGCTTAATCTTGAATTATTTGTTGAAGAAGTTAAACGTGTATTGAAACCAAATATCGGTGTTTTTGCCATTTGGACATATGGAACAGGTACATTGGACAATCCAATTGCTGATGCTATTTATCGTGAATTTGATCAGACTACCTTATTTCCTTATTGGAATAGTAGACGATGGTTAACTGATACTTATTATCAATCATTATTACCATTATTACCTTACAAATCAACTCTTGTTGAGTATACAATTGAACAAACAACAGAAACATCAATAGGACAATATATTGATTTAATTGAAACTTATTCTGCATGTCAAACATATAGAAAACAAGAAGGTGAAAAAGCATATCAAGATCTAATAGAAAAATTTCGTGAAAAAATAATTGATGCATATACAAAAACTTTAAATCAAACTACTAATGATGAAACAGTCGATTTCAATTCAATTAAATTATCAATATCAAATCCCATACGACTTTATTTAATGAAAAAAAAAATTAGATAAATTATAATTGCACTAGTAGTTTCCTTTTGTTTTGTTTTCATTCTCATTCGAATGTTATAATAAATAATGGTAAAGCAAGATGAGAGTCAAATATTACTATTTCATCGTCATTATCATCATTATCATCTTTCATTTCCATATCGAATATCTAATAAAAGAATAGAAATAATCAAAATAAAAATAAAAAATTATATTAAGCAAACTTTAATTGAATCATATTCTGTATTTCTTTTTAATGTAATAGTGGATTTTGTTTTTGATTTCGATATAAGTTCAATACGACCTAATGCAACTTTACAAAGAAGAATTTTCTCAACTTTCTAAAATTTAATAAAAACAAAAAATAATAACTAACTAAAAAAGAATTTTTAAATTTACTTGTTTTTCTAAATTTTTTATAGTCGAATGAAAATAAAGACCCTTTCCAAATGAACCATAAAGAAAATCTAAATTAAAAAAAAAAACGAAAAACAATCAATTGAATTATTCATTAATTCTATACCTTCATTAGTAAAACCAGCAGTGGCTATTATATCAAGATGATCATGATGACCATAATAAAAAAGTAATGTTTCATTTTTTTGACTACCATTATGTAATGAACCAAGAGAACTTTGATATAAAGCTATTGTAGCTGAATCAACAGTTATCTATATAAAAAATGTTTTTTATGAAGATTTTCTCTTTCAAAGAAGCAATTTAAAATTCTGCTACGAAGAATACCTAATTTCTAGAGCACAAGCACATAGTACGTGGTACAATAATGGCAAACTACGAAAGGGTTAACCCAGTCTTTGAGTGGACATAGTTCCTTCGGTCTTCAGGCTAGATAAAGCATTGAAAACGAAATTTCATATTTGCAAGAATATCCATAAAAAATATGTAGAGATGTCAATTATATACGATAGGAAATAATAATTTGCCAGAAGTCTAGAGTTTTATTGTGAAAATGTCACAAAGAATGAATATTATACCAGTTCAAAAACGAGAATTAATTTGTTTTTTTTGCTGATCAGTTCCGAAAAATTTTCAAAGTTTTACGGGATACGATTGAGCAATAAAGAGCCAAGGAAAAGAGAAAATGCTACTCATTCTATAAGTAACGAGGATGATCACTATGCCAACTGATGAAAACATTCAGAAAAGGCATAAAAATCAGCACAAATTCGCTATATGAACCCTCACAGACCATATATCAATAACGTCCTGTTAAACTACTTCCATATTGCATTTCTGAAGGACTTAGTAAGAGGGTGGTGAAGAGATGCGTTCCAACATGAATAGAATAAAACAATGTTCCTATGATTAGCAAAAGCAGCTGTATCACGTTTTTCACATTTTAATCCAGTAGCATAGTGAGCATTTTTCTATAGACCAGATGGATATGTTTTTTTACCTTAGAAACACCTTATTTTCTACTCAATATAATTTTATTATCTCTCAAATGTCAATATAATGTGAAAAAGTCAAGTCCAATAAAAATTTGTTTTCACTGATACTTCATTGTGAGCGATTCTTATTCTATAAATGTGTAGAATTTTTTTTTATACGAAAACAAATAAATTACACATCATTCACTGCTGATTCCAAATATAAAGTTAATCTTTAATAAAGGTATTTCTATATCGACAAGAATGAGTTGCATTTGGAAAACCGAAGATTTTCTGGAAAACTCACGTCTGGATCATTCGCGGTGATTCACACTAACGCTACGTCAACGTTATCCGCGGAGGAACATTCTATGGGAAGCTTTGTTTAAGTTGGGGTTGTGAAAAATTGTACAAACTCGTTATACTAAAAACATGTTTCGATAAAAGCGAAAGTTCGTTTTTTTAACGAATACAAAGAGTGACAGACGTAGTTTCAGATTATGTATAATTCTCTCAAAGATGTTTTCTCTTTACTTGTTTTTTTTATTCACAGTAAAAATATGTTTTGAATCTTTATTAGCAATATTTTTCAACTAATGCTAACAAGAGGAACAAGGATTTTTATGGCATTAAATAACCCATGGGTCAGAGTATATGTTGCTGTACTCAAGTCATTAAAAAGTATACTTTCAACTTTTCACCTAATATCAGCCTGGATGCTCACAGTGTGCAGAGATTGAGCTAATAGCTTTTATAGTGTATTTCTTGTCTGTTTCAAAATAAGAGAATAGAGAACTGTGTGCTCACGAAAACCAGCTGTATAGCTCGAAGATTATCTCCTACAAAATTATTCTGCTATGTATTGACAATCTGAGATTATCAGAATTTGATAGTAACACAAGGGCATAATCATTATTGATTCATGTGAATATTTTTCATAGACTATAATTTAATATAGAAGTTACTCCTTATATTCTTTGCAAATAAAGTCAATAGGAATAACATCTTGTTATTTAAATAATAAACGTTTGTTCTTATTCAGAATTGCCAACAAACAAAGATGTGATCATATAATTTCTCTAGTGAAATTTTCATTGTGCTAACAAGAACTAATTCAAAATAAAACAAAACCTTTTTTGCTTTAATTTGATAATTTTGAGGATTTTTAAGTTTATGTGTACAATATTCAATTGCCATTTGTGTATTACAATCATCATCCATTAATAAAGACATTTGAGCGACTAACAATTTTTCATTTAATATAGATATTTTTTCCATCTCTTTAATCATTTGATGAGTTTCAAGTTGTTCAATATCTTAATAAAAGAAACATGATACATTTATTAATAAATAATTAAATATTTTATTTACCATCATTATTTTCTTCTGAAGATATTCTTGATTGAGATAATTTTAATTCTAAGTAAATTTAACAAAATGATTTAGAAAAAAATCCCTTTTTTTTAAATGAAACTTACTAAGCGAAGCATTTTCCTTAGCCAGTAAAAATCGTTCACGATTTAAGGAAATAATTATTTGTTCTTGTGTATTTATCTTAATAAATATTTTTACTTAATAATCATAATAATAATAAACGATCAATGATTTACTTTAGCATATAAACCAATCATTTCATTTTTTAATCGATTAAATAGAGCTGCTTGATTTTGATAACTACTAAACATTGTTTTTTCCCTAAAATAATAAATAAATTACTGAACAAAACTCAACCAAATGCAAATACCATTTTTGAAATTGATCATCCATCATAGTCAGACACCGAATAGGATCATCATTAACAACTGAAAAACTAAATATTTTTATTAATATTTATATAGAAATCTTTAATTCTTTATACGAGTTCAATTATCGTGAAACACGATTTAAAGAAAATGTTAAAGTACAGGGATACAAATTTGGACAGCTTCTCACCGCTCTCGTAGATCGTGATAGATATTGTTGATAAACAACTAAAAATCGCATATTAAATAAAAGAATAGTAAAGTATATTCGAAAACGGATAGAATAAAACAATTTTTCTGTGATTACCAAGGGCAGCTACATTGTGCTTCACATTGTAATTTCGTAGACAGTGACCTAACAACTTTTTTATGCTTAGAATTTACCAAACGATAGAGCTTCTTTGAAAATTGAACGATATAGCTTCTAAACAGTTGGCTCTAATTAAGCGACTATGGACTCTGATAAAACCAGGCTATCACTCAATCAATGTAAAATCTATCTGTAAACTGTTACTTTACATAGGATTATATGTCTATCTTGACATTCTGTCCAATATCTGACTGCCCAAAAAAATCAGAAGATATTGTTTGCTGGTTACTTCTACTATGAAAATCCACAGATTTGAGACGTATTGATCTATTAGAGATGAGATATATGGTAATTTATGGATCCGTATTTTTTTTTTCTTAGTCTAGGTAGCTAGTACATCAAATTTTCTGCAGTTTTTTGTGACTACAAACGGTCGTAGGTCTTCGTATGAGTGTTAGTTATATTTTTGTGTGGTCCTGGATTATTGCGTATCCTGCAAAATGTCTACGTTGACATGTAATCCCATATGAAGTACTTGTGTGAATATAAACTTGACAATTGTTGGGCAATCATGATTGCTCATGTGAGAGTTGCAATTAGTAGGATATTTTTGCTTTCCAATACCGATTAGATCGAACCGGATTGGCATGAACCATTTTCACTTTTCTCGTCTTATAAAAGTCAAAACAACCTCTCTCGAACAGTTATATCTACCTCTGAATCACTATATAGATAACATAAGACTATTCTTTCACTATTATGTTGCTTTTGTGAAACATGATTGTTAATAAGTGTTGAAATATATGGTGAAAAAAATTGAATCGATCTCTGCCCGACATTCATGGCAATGTTCTTTCAATCTAATTACAGGTTATGACAGAGATGTCAACATATCTATCAGTCTGTAACGGCCTAGTGAGTTTTCCGACATGTTAATTTTTAGAACCAGAAAAATGTATTTCGTATCTTCGGGGCAACTCTCCAATTTCGATTAGAAAATATCATTAAAAGCATCGAAGTGTTGTCCGGTCGAGTCCAAATTTTTTGCACCCGACGAGCTCTATCCTCCGTGCGAGCGGTGCACATCTCTTCTATTTGATTAACTACTTCACACAAAACACTAAAAGTGTTTATCTTTCTTTTACCATTATAAGGTGGTAAATAACACATTTTTGTTGTATTTGTCCAACAATCACCAATATCTCTAAAATGAATAATGAATTGATTTTTAATCCAATAAAAACAAATTATTCACTTGTATTTGCTTAATATAATAGCATCTTCTGTAAAACCAAATTTTCGATAAAAATCAATAGCACTTTGATCAGATGCGGTTATAACAGCATCATATTCTCCAATATAATCATGATTCATTAATAACTAGCAAATAAGAAAATTGAATTCCAAAGAAAAAACAAGCAAATGCTATTTTTACTCTCAGTAAATGTCGACCAATTCCTCGACCACGAAATTTTTTTCGACAAGCCAATAATTGAAGATCTAAGACATGTTCTTCTTGAGCTCTAAGAAAGAACATAATTAAATTTAGAAATTACTTTTCTAAACATACGGTAATGGAAATATGGTAGTTTTTTGAAAACTAAGACAACCAATAAGACGTTTATGAAAATTAAGTTTTCCAGCTTTAACTTTTTCTAAAAATTTACCAATACCAATTGAATAATCATTTTCATCATCATCAGAGTCACTATCATCTCCATCTCTATAATACTATAGTTTAAGCTTGAAGTTTAATTTTACTTAAATACTTACTCATCTGAACTTTCACTTGATGATGGATCAGAAAAAACTTTATGAAAAACACTATCTGGATATTCAACATCTTCAAGTAATGTATCGAGACAATCTTCTTCATTATTAACTATAGCACTCACAGTTCCTTGGTTTAATACAACATTTGGATCATCTATAATGAATTTAATGATTAAATTTAAAATTAATAAAGAATAAGCTTACCAAAGATGACAAGAATTGTAACAACTTTTGGCTCACATATTGTACTATAAATTGTTTCACTATTCAATTAAATTCATTTGATAAGAAAAGGATAATCATTCAATAGAAAACAAAGATGACTTACCCACCAATATCGGATAATGATTTATCATACAAAGCAACAATTGTATGAAGCAATTCTTGTGGATTACACTACGAAAACAAAATTAAATAAATTATTCTTAATTTATTTGATTTCAGCAAACTTGAAATGTTTGTGCAATAGCTTCTACATCAGCTTTATCTGGTTTATTAAGTAATTTCCATAATCGTATTTGATAGACATCAACAAGAAATGGAGCAGCAGTTTCAGTAGTAGCAGCAGCGACTTCTCGAGAAGACAGTGCAACTTGTCGAGCTAATACAGCAAAATCTTTTTTTGTAGCAAACATGATTTTATTTTATAACATGCAGCAATGAACAATAAAATTATGAAATTATTATCGCCATTAAGATGTTATTTGATAGTGACATCTCTAGATATTAACCACTACATTGAATATAAAACTATGATTAACTGCTTGATGTCGCTAATTATCGAGAGTTTTATGTCGATTTCTTTATGAGTACTAAGAACACTTTCATACATGCATATTGGCAAAGCAAACACAATTGATTAAAATATTTTATGAATATTCTAAAATTAAAAAAAAATACTTTTTATAATGAGGATAGCACACTATTAAAATGTTTATTATCACATATGAAAATAGAAAAAAATTTCTCCAAAAAGATTATTTATAACCTATTAAATTAAAAGTAAAACATAATTCTATGCATCTTCGATATAGATTTTTAATAAAAGTTCTATGTTGTTCTTCGTCGTATTGTTTTTCATAGCTAATAAAATCAGAACAAGTTATTTTATTTCTTACATTCAAACAGTCATTTAATCTTACTTGAGGAATACAAACAATGGAAAATCGACTATTGCTCTTTTTTTTTCTAAATTCATATCACCACTCAATAAACTAGATTGGAGATATTATCATAGAGATTCTTTAAAACAAGCGAATGACAAGATAGTTTGTGATTGTTAGAATATTTACTAATACAAGACAGAAGTCTAATTAGATACAGTAAGCTTTCGTTAGCCGATAGTTACGTTACCAGAAAACTGGCAACAAAGAATTGACAAAATTGATTAGTCAGTCGAGGATCACCTGAGTTTTTTTTATATAGTTTGATGAATGGTTTTCAGAATCGAAAAATACAAATCTATAGGCATACGAATTATCAAAATTTTCGACTTGAGTTTTCGGTTAGGAGAGATTACTTTTCAGGCATCAAGGCAAGTTTTACAAAAAAAATTGTTATGTCCTCAACATAGATTTTGCTCGCTCGAAATATCAATCTCGTCAATTTTGCATTGCCGAGTGATCTGTAACGTAATTTGCAATTGACTAAACCTGAATCGAAGAAAAAAAGTGTTATGCTTTCTTTTGATATCTGCTTAATTGTAATTTTATAGAAATAGAAATGAAACATTCATCTTCACTCTCTTCCATTGAGTTAAAATGATGTTCAAAAATACAATCATTGACAATAGAAAAAAAATCTTGCGAAGTTACAGTCAGCTACCAACAGTAAATATCAGAGGGACTATCATGTATTATACTAAAATTTTAAAACGAATTTATGTAAAAATATGCCTCTTGTTCTTTTCTATACGTAAATTTTGTTTCTTATGTTCACTGAAGAATTTTATTTGATAGAGAAATTTAATGGTTACGAAAAAAAATAGAAAAGTAGCAGACACAACGGTTTTTGTAATGAATATCTTATTAAAATATGCTTTAATTTTGTACTAAATAAAACAGTTGAATATATTCCTAATGATTGTATTTTTCTTGTCAACACAATCCGTTCCTGTACAGCAAAAACTGCAATCTTGTTGACATAATAAGGTTCATATCTCATACATAGTTATTACTTTTGATATTTTAAAACATATTAACTTTTAGTTCAGACCATGCTTTTATCTAATGGGAGGTGCACACAAATTGTGTATGTACTAATCATATTGATGATGGTAAAATGTGTCTATTATTAGCTCTAACTATTAATCGTCTTCATTTCTTTAAATTCTGTTTGTAAACTTGATTTACATGAAAACTAAAGCAATAAATTTCAGATCAAAGAAATAAAAAATACTATTATGCTACTCATAATTGTTTTAATATTTTGTCAAGATGAGTCAAAAAATATGTACATCTCCGTAGAATAGAAGACCATCCACAAAACAATTTCACAAGCCGTAATAGAAGGCTATAAGTTTTCTACAGATCTTTTATGAAAAGTCGAACAGATTTTTTGGGGATTATAGCACCTAAACACCTGATTCTTGAGTAAAAGTAATTTTTTCGTGAAGCTCACGTATATTTTCGAAATAGTGAGTGTAACTTTAAATTGAGGTTTTGTGACTGCCTCCTTCGTAGTCTCAAGCATCCGAAAACAACAGACGTCAGACTCTTTTCCCAACATTCTTCATGAACGAAACAGGCACTGAATGACACTAACAAGAAGACTGAGATTGTTCTAGAACATTTGTATCTTTCTCGAAATCGATATGGTTGAAATACATTTGAGAATCTTCTAAATAGTCTGTTTTTTATTTTTTTAGCAGGTAAAACTTTATATTCGAGATGTCAACGATGATGTGCAGTCGTGCATTGGCTTACCACAATCGTCATATGATCAACATAAAAAGCGTGACCTCTTCAAGTTGTAACTTTGCAAAAATAATCAATAACTGTGTTTGTAAATTTATTGGATTACTGACAATATAAGGAATATGTACAACATGCTTATTTACCAATTAAATTAAAGAATAGAGTAATAAAAAAAAAATGAAATACGAAAATGAAAAGCAAACAAAAACTAGAGTATCAGTAAAGAAAAACAGAAAATTCCTGTTCGTACTGCAGAAATAAATAAGATAGATCGTTTCTCGGGCGATCAATTATCCTTGAAAAACAAATATAGTCTGTGAGAGATTTTTCACTTGACACATTTGGTATTAATGTAATTAGGCTAAAAAAACACATGTGAATTCAATATTTCGTCCGCGAACGAACCTACGCTGACAAGTTTTCTAATTAGTACAAATTCTGATTCTCTTGCACTTAAAATGTCAGAAGAGTTTTTCAAAAGCCCTTAATTGTCTAAGTAGAAGTTAGTGCAACAAAAGCTAGTCTGTAATCTTTTATCCTGGTCGGGTTGGTTATTGTATAATTTTAGATTTTCAGTGAAATTTAATTTTAATAATATTGACTTTTCCATTGATTAAACCAAACCTTTCAAATGCAATACTTTAAAATTTCGATCAGCTTAGCCATAATAAAAGAATCAATGATCTCGATACCATGTTTAGATTAACAACATTCAGAATTTCACTCATAACTCAATGAACTTCAGCGAACTTTGTACTATAAATAGTTTTAATTCAGAGCTATATGATTAAATGTTTTGACTCGATATATATCTTGCCTATTGAGTCATGACTCTTGCAAGTGGAGCTCGTCGGATTTGTCCCGAACGGGTTCAAAAATTTTGGACCTGAGAGACTCTACTTATCAGTTTATCTATCATAATTCAGTTCACAACTAAATCAGTTTCAATATTAATTTTATATGAAATATGTTAAGAAAAGATTAATGAACATTGATCGAAATATTAGTCATCCATATTATTTAAATTATGTTCGAATTTTCACTCTTTGATATTACTTGTATATCATTATTGATATGATAATTTACTAGATGAAATCAGTAACTTGATGGATTGGCAAAAAGATAAGTACAAAGTTGTCGTAAAACAGGTCAACGCAACCTTCGTTCCTAATCTATCATTTTTTTTCTTATGTATCCAGTTCACGGCGATATAATTCATCAAGGCATATCTTATTTTTTCTGCTATATATAGTTGATGAAGCGTTATACGTATCAGAAAGTTTATACTAGATTAAGTTCTGTCTTACATCAATTAGACGAAGACACTTATAAATATAAATCATATATACATATTATTTTAATTATTATTTTTCTGTCTTAATTTGACCTAATCAATGTACAAATTTTCTTTTTATTTAAATGTAATTATTCATAATCAATTAAATAAATTCGTGAGATTTACTTACAAAATATTTCAACCGTTTACAAATGAAATGAGTAAAAAAAAATGTATTAGCATTTATTATAGTTTGTAGTATGTGTGTAAATATGTCAATGTAATGAAATTATTCTTCATAGAAAACATAATATGAATAAATAATACATATCTCAAAAAACAAACGACAAATGCAATTAAAGAAAATTTCTTTTACATTGTTACGCATATTGTTGAAAATTTCGTTTGAGAAATAAAAAAAATATTATAGAAGAGAATTATAGTTGAGAATATTCGTAAACTTGATGCATGTTGATAGATAAAAAAAAATGGTTCATGTTAATGATCAATGAATAGAAATTAATCATAGGGCATTGTTCTTATAAATAAATTAAATTTTCTTGTATTTTATGTCGATTTAGTAATGATTAAAAAAAGATTATTTTTCATTGATATATGAATAATGTACATCAAATTCTTCAAGAAAACATCTGCAAATATTTCATATGATTGATTGCAACAAAGAATGATCTAGTATCTGTCGTTCTATCTTTGTCAGCATACCACTACTGATACTCAACAACTTTTACTTGTATATAAATGTGTTGGAATACATGTACGTTGTTTTTCTTTGCTAAAGGCCTTTACTTCTATTAACACCCACACAATTTAAGAAATGATATGAAACCTCAGTCAAATAGCCATAAGAATATAATAGATCAACTATTGATTGGATAAGAAATAACTGTCATACAACTTAAATGCATATCTTTTTTTTTTTTTTAGTTAGGTATCTTTCTTTTTTTGTTGCATATGTACGTGCGTTTGTTTATTGATATGTAATAGTTAGAAAAAAGAAATGGTATTGCTATCAATGTTTGTCCTATATGGTTCTGTTCTTTTGTGAGACGTGATTAATAACAAGAATGTCATTGGCGAGAAATGAGTGGGCCATAAGAGAGAGAAAAGAATAAAAGAATACGTCTATATGACTGAATGAGGAAGGAAGTGTACAATATTCAGCATCACATAAGACACACGATTTATTGGTAACTAGAAAAGAACGTAGAGAGAAAAAAGTTATATCTGTGGTGAGATCAACTTAGGACGCTAAATTTGGGAGGAACATTCGGGTTAGGGTTTCATTTCATCATAGCTTTTCTTTCTTTCTCTATTTTTATTCCTACATATATATATATAGATACCAATACGTCTTAGATACTTTTTCTATAAGCTAGGTTTTTTTTTCTTCATATAAGGAAAATTGCACATTGGCAGTGATGAT